CCATCCCCACCTTTGCTTTTCTCTCTTGTTTCCTTCCAGGCTCAGCTGTAGACCCATCTTCTACCCAAATTGGACACTTCCTTTTTGGTACTGTCTCATCTTTCTGCTTTACAGACACCACACTCTCCTCGGACTTATCTGACCTTCCTAGATAGCCCTTCTCTGCCTCCATTGCTGGCTCATCTTCTTCCCATGCTCTTAAATATGATATTCTCCAAGGCTGAGTTCTCCTTAGCTCTGTTCTTTGCTCTTTCCACACTCTTCCTTGGCAACCTCACTCACTCCCATGCCTTTAGCTACCACTGGGGATACTTTCCAAATCCATGTCTCCAGTCCTGCCCTTGATTCAAATTTTCAGGATCCTAGGAAAGTCACTTGACATGTCTCCAGAGCTCAGATGCCACATCCAGAAAATAAGACTGTGAGACTAAATGGCCTCTGAGGTCCTTTTCAGCTTGAATCTATCACCCTATGATCCTATGACCTCTCCACCTCACTGGAGTCTCAGTGGCATCCACAATTCAGCATGGAGCCAAACAAGCTGTGTATGTTTCCCACTAAACCCTGCTCCTATTTCTGATTTCACGGTTCCTGTGAGCATCACGGGCACTAGGTTCTAAATCTTGCAGAAGGGGATTGTACTTAACTCAAGAAGACAGGATGGCCATATTTCCACAGTGCTTTGGGGGCCAGAGATACAAGGTCATTGGAGAGGGTTCTGGACTTCAAGTCCCTGAGGGCTTGCATGGGCACAGAGGGCAGCGACACCCCAGTACAGGTGATTATAAAGAGAAGACTGAACAAAGCACGGTGGGAAGGAACGGAGAGAGAGTTGGCAAAGATAGGGAGAAAAACGTGGTGGGGGCATTTAGACAAAAGTGCAACGTAGCCGGGACCAGGCAGAGCTGGGCCCATGGTGGGGTTGCTCTAGCAGCAGCACAGAGGAAGGAAATAGGAAGCTGGAGGGAAACTGGCAGGGTAGAAATGCCCACACCTTCTAGATAGTGCTCCCTAGGCAGCAGCAGGCAAAGATGTTAGCACCTGCTAGACTGTGATAGGAAGTGAGCCAGGAAGAGACTGCTGCCAACGCTGACCTGCACCCGGCCCCACCCCTTTACTCCCCTCCCTCTGCATCACTGACTGCCTGAATCCTGCTTCTTTGGGTTGTGGATAAGGGTGGTGTTTGTGTAGAGGGGGCGGCGAGGAGTCAGTAGGACTAAGATTTGAACTCCCAGGAGATGTTTGGGTTGGGGTGGGGGGCACGCAGTCATGAGGTAGGAGTGCCAAGAGTGTCTCCAGCTTACTTTAATCCTGAATCCTTTATCTTGCATTTTATTTCAAGTAAATATTCTTTCACATTACCATGATGTCTCCTGATTACTCCTGGATGCTCTGAGTGGGATGTGATTCAGAGAGGAAGAAAACGGGGGTTTGTGAACTGACCCCAAAGAGTTGGCAGTTGAGCTGCAGGCTGAATATAGAGGGGCGATGCCATGCTTCCTCAGTGGCTCTTGCCCTCCCTCCCCTCTCATGGCTAAATCACTTTAATTCTACTTCTTCAAAAATCTCTTTTATCCAATCCCTCCTCTCTATTCCTGCTGCCACCACCGAAGACGTGTCACCATCACTGTCTGTCCCAATTCCTAGACTTCATTCATAGGCTTACAGACTAATTTCCTCACAGCAACCCAATAAGGCAAGCGGTATATTATTATCTATTTTTAACAGGTGAGGAAACTGAGCTTCTGAGAAGTTAAATGCCTTGCCTATGATCATGAAGCTAGTAAGTCTTTGATATGGAATTCAAACCCAGATCTCCTCTCTTTACTATGACACACACTAAGTCTTCTGACAATACTCTCTTCCCCCCTTAAATTCATTCTTCATTCCACCGTTGGTCTAATTTTCCTTATGCATAGCCTTGGCCAAGCTACTTCTCTGCTCAATACCCCTCAATAATCCCTATTGCTTATTTTTAATTAATTAATTAATTTTTAGTTTTCAACATTTGCTTCCGTAAGATTTTGAGTTCTAAATTTTCTCTCCCTCCCTCCCCTCCCCCTCCCCAAGATGGCATGCAATCTGATATAGGCTATACATGTACAATCATAGTAAACATATTTTCACATTAGTCATGTTGTGAAGAAGAATTAGAACCAATTTCCCTATTGCTTATTGAGAAAAATTCAAGCTCCTGTGAGGCATTAAAGGGCCCCTATAATGTTTTGCCATCCTACATTTCCAGACTTTTGGAATATCTGCTCACCTTCCCTTACCCATTTACTCAAGTGCAATTCCTCAGAAGTTAATTGAGTAATTTAGTCAAACTGAAATGCTTACCCACTCTCATCCCCTACAACCCCCCTTCCCTTGTCAAGTCTTCTTTTTCAACAACGGCATCAACACTTTAGGAAGGGCATTAAAGGATGTCATTGGAGAGTGCCCAGAGGAATTGACAGCAAGTTGGTCAAAGAGACATCTGAGGATTGGTAGAAGGAAACAGGATGGTCAACCTGGTCATAAAAAGCTTTAGAGGGGCCATGACGGTGCTCTACAAGTGTTTAATGGACCAGGATGTGAAAGAGGGATTAGATTTGTTCTGTTTGGCCCCAGACAGCAAGCCAGGGAACAATCACCAGAGGATACCAGGGTGAAGATTTGGAGAAGGAAAAATTTTCTAACAATTAAGGATGTCCCAAAATGGCAGGTGCTTCAGATAGGTCCTCCCCACCCCCATTCACTGAAGATCTCCAATTGGAGGTCTAACGGACTTCTTATTAGGGATGTTGGTAAGGGCATTTGGGGCCAGGTACAGAATGGACCAGGAAGTCTTGGGGATTTCACTGAACTTGGAAATTCTACTAGCCTACAGAGGTCTAGTTCTTTCAGCAGTCTGTGTAATGACAAAGTTTCCAGAGCCCTTCCCACCTTACTTACTCCCTCACAAGGCAGCTATCATTAGCCTGAATTTCTAGGAAATCCTCGGTTATACTGACCTAAAATAACTGTAATTTTCTCCTGCTTGTTGGAGTTACTTGGAATACATCTCATCCCTTTTCTACATGACAATATTTCAAATCCTTGAATAACAGTAACTGGTACTATAAGATTTTTCAAGTGCAATCACATGTATAGCGGTGGGGTTGCAAGAAATACTTCACATGGTTCTCCCCACAATCTTATTAGACAAGTAGGATGAGTGTTATTGTACTCATTTTACACATAGAGAAAATGAGGCTCAGAGAGTTCCAGTGACTTGCACAGGGCCACACAGACAGTGTCAGAGATGAGTCTCTCCTGACTCTGAATGCACTGCCTCCCCAGTGGTGGTGCTTCTGGTTCCCATAAAGAATCCCACTTACTTCCATTTTTCCTCATGGGCCATGATGTCTAAGTTCTCTCATGTGGACACTTCAATTGGTCAATAGTGAATGGTTCTCTTATCACGCATCACCCAAAATGTACATAATAAATCTAGAGATGTACTATGTTCTAGGGAAAGCTCAGTGCAGATTGGGGGAAGAGCCGGGAAAAAGAAGGATAATCCAGGCTCTGGTTCAGGAAGACTCCTGGGTCTGGGGACAGACCATGGCAGGCAAGGGGCTGTTTAGTGCAGAGCAGATACCGCTGAGTCACTATGGCCTGAACTCAAGACAGTGTCTGGCATACTGGCCAGGAAAGCCTCCGACCCATTAGTACCACTTAGGAAGAGACCTCTGGCTGGTAGCAAGGTGGTGGAGCAGGGTGGGGCAAGGAATAAAAATCAGCACTTTCAAGAAGCCAGACAAGAAAAAAGCAAAATGAAAACCAGCCTGAGCTGGGAAGGAGGCAGACTTTATAACCAAGATAAGCATGGGTAATGTGCTGACCAGAGAGAGTCTGCGCCCTTCGTGGTTGGCTGAGCATGAGGTTATGAGTGGAATGCAGGAGAATTCAGCAGAGCAATCATGGAGAGAAGTCCTGAGGCTCTCATTCAAAGAGGAAGAGTAGAGAATGCCCAGATTAAGTTTGAGCCCTGAGTTCTAATCCTCATGCTCCCGTTGCACTTTGTATTAGCTCTGTGTGATCTCGGGCACCTACACCTGCTTCTGATGTTCTTAGCTATATTACTCTGGGCAAGACATTCAACCTCTCTGAGGCTCGGTTTCTTAATCTGTCGATAGAGGGTTAGATTAGATGAGGGGTTCTTAAACTGTGGTGCATGGACTTCATGGATGTCAGCAAGTCTGAAAGGGGAAAAAAAAAAACCAAACCTGACATCTTTACTTTTACTAACCTCTAACTAAAATTGAGCATTTCCTTCGATTATTATTATTATTATTTTTTGGTGAGGCACTTGGGGTTAAGTGACTTGTCCAGGGTCACACAGCTAGTAAGTGCCAAGTGTCAGAGGTAGTGTCTGATTTGAACTCAGGTCCTCCTGACTCCAGGACTGGTGCTCTATCCACTGCACCACCTAGCTGCCGCTCTACTTATTTTTAAAAAATGATTCTGAGAAAGGGGTCTGTAGGCTTTGTCACACTGCCCAAATGGGGCCATGACACAAAAAAGTTAAGAATTCCATGGACCAGAACTAAGAGTCCTTGGCATCCTATGAAACTATGACCTCACCTCTCTGGGCCTCAGTTTCCTTATCTACAAAAAAGAGAGGATGATTTTCCTTATTACCATTAGGATAATCTGAGAGGATTAAGGAGAAAGTGCTTTGGAAAACTAGGAAGCAAACAGGAGGGATTATGTTGAAGCCTCAGGTGGTGACAGCAGAAATGCCCTCCTCGAGGTCAGCTCTTCCTGCCTCTCCTTCCTGGGATCTCACTTCTTTGGCTGCATTGGCCTGGTCCTCTCAGGATCATGGATACCTCACAGAAGACCTGGGGCTTGGGCTCAGGCCAGGGACCTGGGTCATGAGAGTACCAAGAGCAGGTAGGAGAGGTTCCCTACCCCATCCATCCCCTTTCCTCTTGAGGGCCACGCAGGGGACATACATCGTGGAACTGTACCTTCTGCCTTATGTCAAGCAGCTCACACTTCATTTGGCTGAGCTCCACAGCCTTCTCCCTCCTTTGGATCTCCTGGGCCTGCTTCTTCAGGGTCCCACGGGCTGTCGGCAGGCGGCCCACCAGCTCTGCCCCCTGCTGAACACTCTCTAACAATGATGACCGAAGGTCTTGTTCTGATCTGCTCCAGTCCTGGAGGGCCAGGGCCCCGCGGCCGACCACACTGTCCATCCAGTCCAGAAGGTGGGGTAGAGAAGCCCGACGTCTGATGAGTGGGTTTGAGCCTTTGCCAAAGAGGCTGCAGGATGATGGGCTAGAGAGGAAAAAGGAGGTTAATGGGGAGAGGAACCAATGCCCTGAAGTAGGGGGCAGTCCTTCTAGATTTGATCTTGTCTCCCCTTCCTCTGGCTCATTTGATAACACTCACCTCGCTTCAGTGGGGTGGATGCCTCTCAGGAGGCTTGGGGACTGTGATCTGTCTAGGAGCCTAGGACTGTGGGAGTGCCACAGGCAGGAAGAGTTCCCAGACTCCAGCAATTCAGAAGTGGCCCTCAGAGGGCCCTGAGTGAGGGGAAGAAAGCCAAGTATCATTAATAGTCATCAACATCATCGTCAAAGTTCCTTACATACAACTTCTGAGGCATTCAGGAAGGAATTTTTATGCCCATTTCACAGATGAGGAAACTAGGGACTAGAGAGTATAAGTAATTTACTCATCGTCACATGGCAAATCACAGGCTAGAACCCAGGTCTCCTGAGTCTCTTGAGTGTCAGCCACAGGATTCCCTTGGGGAGGGGAGCCTGTAAGGGCTGAAGTTAGGACCAGTCTAGGGACTCATGTGGGGTCCTGAATTGGTCGGTCAGGACTTCTGTCCCCTGGAGAGGAAGATTAAGTGCTAACAACGGTCTAGAGAGGAGGGAAAGGAAAAGGGAGAGGGGACATCAGAGCTGGGATGGATTTTAGTTATAGGTGCCAATGGTGGGAACAGGGCCGGTCCTGAGGTGGCGAAACTGGGAAGTCCTGAAATTCCTGCCCCTTCTTGAGGGTTTAGGGCTCTTTTGGGGACAGCAAATATCTGATTCCCTTCAGGCAGGTCACAGGGATCAGAGAAGGCAAAGCTGAACCCAGTGGGAGGAATGGCAGGCTGATGGGGAAAAACAATTCCTGGCCTAGGAAGCCACCTCTCCCTGCAGCTTGCAGGCAGCCTTTGCTAAGACTGGCTCTGGAAAGTCCTTTTCAAAACCCAGACCTCACCTCTACCTTAAGAGAGTCTCTGGAAGATGGGTAGACCTTGGAGTGGCCCCAGGGTGTCTCCATTGACCTTGCCCTACGATAACCCTGAAGCCTCCCCAGGAATGAAGGGCTCTTGGCCAGGCCTTGTAGAAAACTGCCATTCCTGCGGTCCTGGGAGGGCAAGCTGGGATAGGTGGCCCAGCCTTGGAAGGACATGCTGCAGGGGGAGCCAGAAGAGGAGAGCGTGAGGCCTGTGGGGCAGCCAGGTGCCCACGGATATCTGGTCTAGAGCCAATTCAGGCACCTTCAAACCTGCCACGAGAAAAACAAAAACAAAAACAAAAACAAACCCCACTCCGAGTGAGCTGGTGGCTGAGCCACCTGTAAGCCTCGTGCTCTTCCCCCCTTCCCAGCCCAGCTGGTGAGCGCCAGTGTGCATTGTACTGCTGAGCCTACTGAGGGGGAGACCGGCCAACGCTGTCTTCCATCCACACCTGTGAGTTCATTGGCGTAAGGAGCTTCCCCTGAGGAAACTCTGCCAATGCAGATCAGCACCTGCTCTGCCATAACAGGCTTGGAGAGTTGCCAGGGACAGTCAGTCAATATTAAGGCCCTACTATGTGCCAGGAGCTGTGCTAAGCCCAGGGGATGAAAAGAAAGGCCAAAGAGAGTTGGGACTCCCAAGGAGCTCACATCTAATGCAGGGGGATGACACACAAATAACTCTGTACAAACAAGCTATTAGGAGGCAGCCGTTGCCTCCAGACCTTCCTGGAGCCAGGGCTACTTCACTACCCACTACACTAGGCTGCTTCTCAGTTGTGCCAGGGACAGATAATTTGTGTCTGAGAGGAGACGAAGGGCCAGGAGATCTGAGCCAGGGTACAGATGCTTCCTTAGAGTTTGGGGGACCCAGGGAGGCAGATGACGAGTCCCAGATAATAGATGGAGATTGGGAAGGAGTTCTGAAGCTTGAGCAGTGGAGAAAACCATGGGGTCAGAGAAGATGATCAAAAAAACAACAAAACTTGGAGGGCTGGGATACCTCAGGGATACCAAGCAGAAGCTGTGTCCCCAGAACACAGGAGGGGCCAGTTCATAGGGTTTTTGTGAGTAGAATCCAAACACTCTACCAAGTCTGAGTTCAGGTGCCCGTGAGGAGAATAGTAGTCATCTGGAGTCAAGGAGCAGTGATTTTCTCAGGGTCAAAATAGCTGGGCTACTTTTTGTAGTAGCCATGAACTTGAAATGAAAGTGGATGTCCATCACTTGGGGAATGGTTCAACATAAAAAAAGATGCTATTTCCTTTTTGGGGAGGGGGCTAGGCAATGGGGTTAAAGTGACTTTCCTAAGGTCACACAGTGTTATGTGTCTGAGGCCGGATTTGAACTCAGGTTCTCCTGAATCTAGGGCTGGTGCTCTATCCACTGCACCACCTAGCTTCCCTGAAGATACTATTTCTAAAGCACTTTCTAAACCTTAAAGCACTATAGAAACGCCAGCTATTGTTGTCACTGAACAAACTGTGGTCTGTGAAGGTAAGGCAACATTATATCATAGGGAATAAGGAGTGTAAGGAATGCCAAGAGGCATGGGAAGACTTGTATCAACTGATGAAGAACCAGGAAAACACATTGATCATAACAATGTAAACAAAAGGGACAATAAAAGAAAGGCATGTTATCATAATGACTAGCCTTGCTTCCAGAGAAGAAATGAGGGAATGTATCTTCTTTCTTTCTGTGAAAAGACAGAATGCTGTATATAATGTTAGGATGTCAGTTTTGCTTAATGGTTTCCCCTGTGACCTTGAGAAAGGGTAGAGGTGGGAGGCAGGAGGTCTACTTACAAACAGCTGTACTATAAAAGCCAAAGGCATCAATAAAACTATTTTTTGAAGAAAGAAAAGAAATAGGTCAGCATTCAGCTATGAGGTGAGGACAAAATGGTCCCAAGTACGTGCTTACAGAAAAAAAAAAAACGACCAATCTGGGGCATTAAACAGGGACATTTTGAAGTAACGCCAGCTCCCATTTTTCTAGTATTTTAAGATTTGCAAAATCTTTCCTCACAACAAACCTGTGAGGGGAGGTGGTACAAGTTATTTGTATGCCGATTTTGCACAGAGAGGTTAAGTGACTTGTCCAGGGCCACCCAGCTAGGAATTACCAATGTTAGGGTTCAAATCTAGATCTAATGCTCTTTCTATTACTCCGCACTGGTCCCCAGGCTCTGCAATGCTTCCAGCTGAGCCAAGTTAACTTAGGGATGTGATACTACCCCCATACAGGGAGACCTCTAACAAGCCATTCTGGGGCCAGGGGCAAGCAGCACAAAGCATGCCCTCAGGTCAACTTTGGAAGACAAATTCGATGAAAGGGAATAGAGACCCCAGGAGAAAATTCCTCAAAGTCACTGATGGGGGTGGGGAAAGGCAGAATGGAGCCTGGACAAAGAGTATCTCACCCAGGGGCAGCCATCTATTAGTTTCTGATCCTAATGAATTGTTCTCACTAATAAGGGATTCAGTTTAGTTCTTTCTTCATTATTGAAGGAGTGTCTGTGCAATCTTTACCCTCCAAATATTGGTGCCCTGGGACAAGACCCTTGTTGGCCTACCTTAGTCACAGTTTTATATATAAAGTGTGTGCCCTTGGAGGGGAGCTTCCCTCCACCCACTCTTGCAGCCCCCGGGTGTTGGGGTATGTTACAATAGTCTGTGTCCTTTACATATCTGGCTCTATGTCTTTATGGCCCTGTGGGAAAAGTGAAGGGGAGGAGGATGGACTAAATAACCTTTAAGGTCCCTTCATGCACTAGATCTAAGATCCTAATCTCTGGAGAAAAAAAAAAGTCTGCAATCAATATTTAGAGAAATTCCTCCCTTGGAGGCAGTGGGCCTACACTCAGGAAGACAAGTTCAAATCCCACCTCAGACATACCACCTGTGACGCTGGGCAAAGTCGTTTAACCTCAGCTGTAAAATGGGGATCATAACAACACTTAACTCACAGGGGTGTGGTGAGGACTGACTGAGACAATATTTGTAATGTGCTCAGTGTGGTACCTGGTGCATAGGAGGCACCTGATAAACATGTATTCCCTCCCTTTCCTCCTTCATCCATCTCTAGTAGAGGCAACGGAAAGGAAGTTGGCTAGCTAGCTAGACTTACACACAAGGGGAACAGTTAGCTGTTTAATTGGGTGATTTTCAGGGACTCAGGGAGAGCCACCCTGCGCCCCCCCCCCCCATTAGACCTTGGGAGGAGGTTAGAGATCATGCAGTCCAATCACCTCATCTGACAGGGAACTAAGGCTCAGAGAGGGGAGGGGACTTAGAAACACAGATCTAGAACCAGGAGAGACGTCAGAGGCTGGCTACTTTGATCCTGGTTGAACAGATCAGGAAACCGAGGCTCAGGAATGTTACTTGCTCTCAGGGTAACACAGGCAGTGACTGGCAGAGCTAAGTCTTTTTTTTTTTCAGCCAAAGACAAGGTTTATTAGAACATCTGTCATATTGGGCAGACTCTTAAGGAGTAAACTGTTGGCTAGATTTTAAGAGTCTGAGCACTAGCTAGATTATAAGAATCTAAGCCCAGAGCTAAATCTTAAACCCAAATCTCTTGCCTTTCAGTCTAGGGGTGGGGGTGGGGCCTCGAATCCAAACATCACAGAACAAACCGCCTCAATAAAGGGATTTGGTCCTCGAAACTTGGACTTGCTCAAAAGGCCGCACCCAAGGACCTAGAATGCCACAGGCTCCCCACTCCTGGCAGGGTGTTTTTTGTCACAAGACTTTCCCTCCCCCTCAGCTGCCTGGTACCTCAAATGGTACTGACCCTCGAGGCTTTTCCCCTGGAGCCCCAGGGATGCCAAGGTCCCCAGGAAAGGTCATGTCTGAAACTTCTCTGGCCCATCTCTCCAAGTGCAGCAGTGTCACAGCAGGATTTGCTGACCAATCACAAAAGCCCTGGTTTGATGTATGTGTGGGTGGGGAGTGGGGGAGACTGAAAGGGGAGGAGGGTGGGGACTTCCAGTAGCCTGGGTTCCACTTCAAAGGTTCACCCTCCCAAGA